CACCCCCAAACACAGCCTAAACTCTACAATAATCTACTTATTGATGAACTGATTATTGTATCTAAAATTTATTAAAAGTACCCTTAATTTGCAGATTGTATGAAGATATTCAATATTGTATATTTTCTTGTTATCAACCCTCTTTAATACAAGACCTGACATCAACCCCAGAAGCTCAAAAAAAAATATCAATCCCAGAATTAGCAAACCCATGAGCTAAACTAATCCAGTTCCGGGTCTAAATTAATCACTACATAGAAAGACAAGAGAATAAGAAATCAGTGGTTTTATGCATTTAATTTAATAAAGTCAGCCAGTCTCGTGTCCATCTCTGTCTGCTTTCCCCTTGGAATAGGACAGTTCTAATCTGGGTTAGATCCAAATGGATCAAATAAGACTCGGATCACGTCAGCTGTCGGGTTCAACGTCATCATCATTGTTAGATACAAATCAGACGGTGACGCAGCCACCTTGTCATCATATATAATGTGTGACTTATTAAAAGATATCAACCAATTAAATATCTTGTATGACTCAAACCCATTAATTTATTTTGGGCTCATATTTACCCAAATAAATTAGTAATTACAACCAAAAAGAATCCTTACCTTCCGGCACAGACATCCACTGTTTACACTTCAAAAATGGCCAATCAGGAAAACCCATTGGACTGGTGGGCCTGCTCTCTTGATACATATATATATATACAAAAGCGAGCATCCCCCCAGTGTCAATGAGCTGATGGGTCAAGACTATGGGGGCCCATGGAAGGTGATGGAAGAAGGTAGGGCCCATAAGATGCATTTCTTTTTGAGTATAAAAATCTTAAGTATTTTATGGGTTAAATATCTGAGAAGGGAAAAAAGAAAGTGATCCGGCCCACACGGTTGTGTGTGGTGTGACTGGTGAGTCAGTAGACAAGTTGCAGGGAGGCCGGCCTTTAAGGCTTTTAAGAGGTAATAAAAAAAATTCTCCAGTGTCCACCAAAGATTTGTTGTTTGTTATGAAGAAATCGTGCAGAAGAGATGTTCATTTGGGAGGGATTTTCAAATTCTCGGCTGCATGTAACACAGTAATATATCATTCATTCATTTCATGGAATAGAAAGCCAGACATTGGCTAGCTTCTAGGGATTGACATGACGCATTAGTGAGACAAAGTGGAGGAGGAGAAGCTCTGAGAGTGAAAACTGAAATGCCCTTTGTTTACTTTGCTTGTTTTCAAAGAAAAACAAAATCCCATCACCCACGAGGAGAGAGAGATGAATTGGTGGATTATTGAATTGAGAGGAGAGGGTGGGAGTGTGGGACCCATTACTACACCTTCTATCACTCACAAGAAATTTTGTGTAGTTTGACACTTTGACCTGATCTAGGAATTTATCAAAAAAAAGAAAATGTTTTTGGAGATTTGTTGTTCAAGATTCCAACTAAGTAGGTTTTTGAATTGTCATCTCATGAGAACGCTCTTATGTGAGAACCTTGCAGTGTTCTTCATAAATAAGAGCAAACTTATTCAAACTTATTGAATCATCGCTCAAACTAGTCCACGTGTTTCTCCACGTCATCCTAGTGTTCCCATGGATCCATGATCCCATCTGAGATTGATGATTAGATGGGACCGGCCTTTTCCAAAGATGGGGTCCTATCTGTTCATAAGGACTAGGGCACTGCCACGTGACAAAAAAAGGGAGAAAATTATTTCATGGCACCCTTGTTTATTTGAAGAAGATACATTAATTGGTCATCAGTCTCATTCAAAGCACAAAGCGACAAACTCTAAGCCTGGGAATTTTAATGGGAACAATACCTAAATCTCATTTATTAATCAAGATAGCCTTGTTTATTTTTGTCCTTTTGTGATTAAAAATGTATGTGGAAATGGTGTAATGAATGGAATGGGGGAACACAATATTACAAATTTCAATTAAACAATGGCCTAGCCCCTAGGGTTTGATAATTGACGGAGACAAAATAGAACAAAGCAATCAGGTGAAATGCTGATTAGAGCACATCCAAAATTATTTAAGAGGGCAAAAATCTGGATTACAAAAAGACAAAAATAAGAAAAAGAGCCATTATTTGGTTTAGGGATAATTTTGTCTTTTTCCAAAAAGTACGTCCTGATGATAATTAATTAGGTACTTGTCTTTAAGGAGTATACCCATCTACCATTCAGGGAGGGGAATGGATGCTTCGGAGCATGATAACAAGGTGCCGTTTGGTAAGATGCAGGTCTTTCCAGTTTCCTGTATTTCCTTGCCAAACAGAAAAGACCATTTTTTGATCAAGCGGTCTTTGAAAAGTTGGCAAGATCTTCTGAGAACACTTGCCAAATGGGCGCTTCGCTGGCTAGAGGATATCTCCTATCATAAGGGCTGAGTGGATCTCAACCTGGCCCATCACCACTAAATACAGGGGTCAAGGCCCAAAGAAAAAGGTAAAACAGAATTACAGACCTCTCTCTACATGCAGCTTTCATCTTCAGCCCCTCGGATGCTTTCAATCATTCAATGTAACGTGTTAAGTTGATGGGGGCTGCAATAAGTGTGAAGCCCAGCTAACACTGTCAAAAGGACAACTTCCGCTGTTTTCTAGTCGTCAAATTTCATCTTATAAGCTTTGATCCTTCACTGAACCTGATATCAGACTCTCAGAGACTCCAACAGGTCCAAGAAAAACACAAAAGCAGTATCTACTAGTGTGATTGGTCATAGAATTTAAGTAGTAGCATTTGCCCCAAGGAGAAGCACTCACCTTGGCTACAAATCGAGCCTGGAGGACTTCACAAATCTAAAGTACTAAATTGTTCATTGAATTCATCCATCTAGACCAGTACGTTACGCTGTGCCTTGGTGTCCTCTCTTTTGTGCAATGTGGTACGTAACCCAAGTTCGTAAATGCGAGCAGCACGGATAGAAAAGGCCCTGGTAGTAGATATTGGACCAGAGAAGAGGGGAGGAACTAGGACACAATTGTACCGCATTAGCATTCAGGACAACGAGAGATCAAGATCCTTGATAAGAGTTGGGATTTTCTCCTCACATTGATCTCACAATACGTAGCAGCGGTACATAGCGAACATCTTTCACACTTGCATGTTAATTCACGGGAAGATGTTTCCAATACATGGTGGGATATGCTTTGAGGTCGGTGTGAGAAGCATTCAGTGTAGCAAATCCTGATTTTACCCAATGTTGGGGTCTCGGGAGGGGTAGACTGTATGATCCCAACCTGTGTTTTTTTTTTCCCCGCATAAAGTGGCCATCCTGAAACTCGAATCGGTGTTCTCACGCTTACCAGCCCAAGATTTTACCGTTACACCAAGTAATGGTCCCTATTCTTGTCACTACATAATACAAAATAATGAGTGCTACATCATACAAACTGCAGGCAGTCCTGATGGCATCCCATTTTTGTTGTTTGTAAAAGAAGCAAAAAAGGAACAAAAAATATAAACATATATCAATGCTCCCATTTTGGGAAAAATGATTATGTTCAAGTACTCATTGTAATCAGTTCTATTTAACTGGTCTTATAAACCAAAGGCAAATTGTAAGAGATCCATTCAACACTCTTGTGTGGTCTTCGTTGCTAAATTTTCGGCACACAAACATTTTAACACATCAACTAGATTTAAGCTTCAAAACTTTGCAAAGGATTGCCCTAGGATACTTCTTTAGTATCTATCATCAAGGAAATGAGGGGGTTAATCTACAAAAATGTTAAATGCTTGGTAATTGATAAAAGCTGATCAATATTAGAAGTAAATGTTGAGTAGGAAATGGAATAAAATTCTTTTTTTTATGACCTTACATACTAGTATTCTGACACATTAAGGGGCTCAAACAACTTTTTAGTTCTATCCTCCATCCACACCAGAAAAGTCAAACATGCCTGTCATTGGAAAGAGCTAGTCCAGTATATACTGATGATGAGAGGGTCAAAGCTCCCTACTAGCCAAAGACTGCAACATGTCTATTGTGCTGTGCCAGTACAAAGAATTATCTGAAGCAACCAAAATAGCAGCAGCATACGAAATCAGCATAGTCAGGCAACAAACAATAACTGCCAAGAAAAATCTACAGTTTAGAATATGGCAATCAACATGGAAGTAAACACAAGGATGCTGTGATAATAAAAGCCTGAATCTGAAACATATTGGCTGAAGCAACCAAAACAGAAGCAGCATATGAAATCAGCAGTCATGCAGCCAAGGTTCAAAATATCGATACGCCTGATACGCCCCTACCGGTGTATCAGGCGTTTCGATACTTGTTTTTTTTACTTTTTTTTTTATTTTTTTTTCAAAACTGGTTCAGGGGAGCCGATCTAGGACCCCTCCATCCCCTGAACCGGTCAGACCCCCGATACACCCAATGTAGGGGCGTATCGAAAGGGTCCCGGAACAATACGGGCCAATACGTAATGATACTTTCAACCTTGCATGCAGCAGTGACTGCTGAGAAGAATCCGTAGTGCAAAATCCATGGCAATCTAAACAGAAGAAAACACAATGACGCTGTGAAAAGAAAAAGGCATAACAATAGACTTGAGAACGAACAGAGTATACAAAGATAAATATACTCAAATTTACAGTTTTAATCTAGACCAAAACATGAAAATAAGACGGGGGCCATGATAAAATCTTAAGAAGTGTGAGAACATGGCTTTGAGTCTGAGAATTTCCATTTTGGCTCAGTTTGGAAGCAGTACAAATGCAAATATGTACAGCGTAAATACATACAAAATATAAGGTTTTGCACTCTATATATTTGCATTTGTACTCCTTCCAAACTCAGCCTTTATGTCAAAAAAATGTTGAAGGTTAGGTTTGTATCTATCCACCCCTCCCAAGACCCTGGATAGCTGGGACCAACATTGGGTAATGGCCCTTTAAAGAGCATAGACATGCCCAGTGCCATTGACTTACTCAAGCACCTTGCAAATCCAAGCTTATGCATGCAAAACTAGCATACAAATAGGTGATTCAAGACCCATGACGTGCAGTCATGTGCAAATCCCAAGCGAGAACTCGCTTTTTCATATGTTACAACATAATAATCTCAGCGAGACATAAGATGGTAACAACACATGGTGAGATTGGGAAAGCTGCACCGGTCAGTACCAGATTCTCTCATGTTGAACCACTAATGTTGAGTTGGCATAACAGACTAAAGAACTTTTCCCCCGAGAGGATATTTTAGAACTCTACCCTAGGATGCATACAGGCAGCATGACAGTCTCTTCCTATAAATAGGGCACCTGAACCCACCTCAGGGGGAATTTCTGAGAGATTCGAGATTTAATCCCATAATCCCATTTGAGAATCAGTCCACTCCTGTCCAACTTTTGGAAGCTCATAGACCAAAACCGCTGTACTTGTTTTACAGGCCCTTCTACATAAACATGAAAATATGAGATGAAGTTTAATGAAGAGTTAAAACTTTTTATGAGGGAAGTGAATAATGAGTATCTTTTTGCATAAAAATAAGTAATAAAGATGCTTGAATAAGTTAGACATCAAGTGAAGTTTCTGTCAAATAAAAAATGACAAAATAAATTAAATTAAAAATAAGGGCCACGAATTCACTTTGACTAACAGATTTAGGTTACTGTCCATAATTCGATATAAGTTTGACAATGTGTTAAATTAGTCAGGTGCTTGGGCATGTTTTGTGCTTATGAAGCAGAGTTTATCCCCTGTGGGTTGCAATGCCATAAATTACCAAGTTTCAACCAAAAAGTTGGTAGGGAATAGGTGGAACAAGTCAATCACCTAAACCATTTGATTGCAGGGGCTGAGCCTCCCTAGATGACCACAGATATGAACTTGTATTCTCCAGGCAATCTGAGCTCCTGCAAGACGAGAAACCACCTTAGCCTTTGGTTAGTGATAATTAATATAGAAGTCCTAATCATGAATAGAAACATCACTAAGCACATCAGTTTAAAAAGAAAACAATTGGAATAACTGAAAATATAATGAGATGGAAAATAAAAGTCAAAGGGAGGGAAAACCTCGTACAAAAGTCCTAGTAATTATTTATTGAAAATAGAAAAATAAACAAATAGACATGTAAAACATGCCTTATCTCTCAAAATTGTGAAAAAAAGCATAATTAAAATTAAAAAAAAAAACCGATTCATCTAGTTCTACAGTCTCAAAAAAAAAAAAAGAAACAAAACAGAGAATGAATTAAGTACTGTGGAGAAGATCTGCAATACTCCATGTGATCCAAAAAGAAAAATATACTCAACTTGGCAGCAAATAATCAAGCCAAAAGCACATGATACAGGAAAGGACACACTTATTAAACCAAAAGAAATTTAAGGAAACAGGATAAAAGGTGTTACTTAGGAAATATAACATTTTGAAACAGACATGCCAACAGCATGGCAGATTCCTTGACAAGACAAGGGATTAATTGGGAACAATTGTATTGGGATGCAACTTATGAGGGGAACTCATTGCATGGGTAAAGGGAACATCATGTGGGGTAGGTATTCACTGCAAGCCTACAAAAAAGGGGGGTTTCCTGGCACAGTTTATTTGTAATCTATTTTTTATACCAAAAAAAAAAAATTCTGTTAACTATTAATGAAGAAAAAAGGAAGCATACAGAAGTTACAATGGGCATAGTGGTAATATATGAATAAGTTACAAACTTCAAAAACAAGGCAATACACTAGAATTTTTTTAATAGATAAGTCATTATACAAGAATTATTTCAAGAATAAATTACAAATCCAATAAGCCGGTCTACTACTTGAAACTTTGTAAAAGATGCAGCAACCAGCGAAAGGAAATTTCTACTTCTTTATCTTTGTAATAAGAGCCTCTTCCTCAAATGAAAGGTGATTGATACAACAGCTCCCAAGCTCAACCAAAGGAAACTCCATTACAAAACTAGAATCTTCAATCTCTCCTTTACAATAACATGAGTGACAGCCCAAGTGACAATGAGCTCTGTAGAAAGCATAAGACAAGATGAAGCCAACATCAGAATTTAGATCAAGATAATATAGCAAATCACTTGCCGACCCCACATAGATGGGATAAGGCTTAGATGATGATGATATAGCAAATTACTTGATATATGAATAAAACTTCAGAAAAGCACAGTCAGCAATGAACGAATAATCATTATGTTGTATCAAAGCACATTTGGCAAGTAAATGATGATTTTAATTAGATTTTAAGTGTAAGAAGAACTGGAAAGGAGAGTCAAGTACAATAGGACCTGCCAAGTGACCATATAAAACTGGATTTTGATGAATGCTGCATTAGGAACCAGGCATGGGTGGAGTCTTTGTGAATGAACAAGGTACCATATTAGCAACGTTTTCAGGACCAGCTAGCCATGAAGATTCTCTAAGAGCTGAGTTGCTGGCAGTCCTGCAAGGTTTGAGAACGGGCAGGTCACTAAATTTCAAGAAGGTACTTTAAAGTCATGGTGGGCTGGCTGGAAGTTAATAATCAAGCACTATGGCAGTATAGATACACCATGACAAAGATTAGACACTTCAGAATAGAGTTTTCCTATTCCAATAACAATTTCATAATTTTCAGGTGATATGGATATTGGTATTTTTCAAATTTTTAAATTTGTTTTCTAGTTATAGGCATCTTAAGAATAGAGTTTTTAAGTATTATAGAAATTTACTATTATCAGTAAACTGAAATTATTATTTATAACAACCTTCAGATTTAGTAGTTATAGTAAGTCCCATAACTACTATTTATAGTAAAATTGTGATTTATTATTTTTAGTAAATTCTCCTTTCTCTCATTAAGTTGGTTTTAGTAGTATTAGCAATGAATCACTGGAGTCAGAGTCCTTATTTAAGTGAATGGGTTTTTCTTATTTATGAAGTAGTTACAAGTTGCGTTGCATCAGTTTCCCATCCAAATTGGAGTCTGTAAAGGGACATCCAAGTTCTAATGATGAGTCTATAATTAGAGTAATTTTAATTGAAAAGGGAAGAGTTTATTTTATGAAATAAAGTTTGGTGAATTCTGGTTATAGTTAAGAATTTTTCCCTCTCCCCCTCTCTCTCAACTATCTCTTTTTTTCTTGATAAATGATTAATTTTTTATTATCAACATATTCAAATCAGTGCAAGAAAAATTACAATACATCCCTATTTTCCCCTTGTTTGGCTAAAGAATCAGCCATAGAATTTGTTGATCTCCTGACCCATTGTATTCTCAAATTCATACTTCTTGTTAGCCACTTGAACTTCTTAATTTCTTCCCTATAGCACTAAATGATAGAGTCCGGATCCTTCAACCACCTCACAACTACCATAGAATCTCCTTCAATTATTAGATTCTTCATACAAAGCTGATTTGCAATCTGGATTCCTTGTAATGCAGCGAGCAATTCATCCCTAATAGAGTCTCCTACCCCTACCAATCCTGAGAATAGAACCAAGACATTTCCATCCTTGTTTCTCACTACCCCTCCTACTCCAGAGGGGCCTGGATTACCTTGATTGCTCCCATCAAAATTTAGCTTCAAATAACCTTCCAAAGGAGGTGTCCAAACTAAGTTTTCTCTATCCTTCTTGGAAGTGCTACTAGCCACCACAACCCACTTTTTCCAAATACCATCAAAAGAAAATTGGTGAAAACAGTCAGCATTTTGGGAAGACTGTGGAAGTTTCCATTGGAGCAGGATAGGTTGTGGTACAATAATAGTCAGAATTCATGGTTTAGCAACAAAATGGTTGGGATGCTGGTTTGGATCTGAGGGCAAGCTGCTTCTCTATGTGGAAAGAAATTTGTCCTGTTGTCCTTTCCTTCGTAAGGTATAATGTTTGTTCTGGGAATAAAGTTCTTTTTGGGAAGACAATTGGCTTGGGAATAAAGTGCTTTTTCTTTGTAAAAGTTAAAACCATTTTCTTCAATACTTTGTAATGGGATAGCTTGGATCTAGAGCTGAGAAGAGGACTTAGGGAGGTTGAAACGGAGGGCCCTTGATGAGTTGCTTTCTCTTTTGAGTACCATTTTTTAGGATCCTTCTCTTCTTGACTCTCGAGTGTGGTCAGTTTCTCATTCAGGCCTTTTCTCTTGTGACTTTTTTCAGTATCATTTTTCTATCTTCTGGGTCATTGGTGTCTTTCCCTTAAGGAGGTTTGCTGCAGTCCAGTACCTCCAAGAGTTTGGGCTTTCTGTTAGGAAGTGGTCCTTAACAGGATTAACACTTGTGACTTGTTACAGAAAAGGAGACCAAATTGGTGTCTCTCCCCGAGTATTTGTGCTCTCTGTTTTGCTTGTGATGCATAGGTTACCTACCTTTTAATCTCCTGCCCTTTTGTTTTAAGCATTTGGGAATGGATTTCTAATATTTTTTGGTTGCAGATGGACACCTCCCTCTTGTACTGCAGGCATCTTTGATACTAGGTTTCGTAGACAGCCAAATAAAAAAGGAAAAGCTACGTGGAGAGCTACAAGAGCAGAAATATTTTGTGAAATTTGGGAAGAAAGAAATAATTGTATTTTTCAAGACAAGGTGAAGAAATAGGAAGAATTAATTGACAACATCTCTTTCAGTGTTGCACATTGGATAAAAACTCTGAATTTGTTCAAGGATGTTTTAGTTGATGATATAATTAGAAACTGGAATGCAATGGCACATTCTTCAACCTCAAGGGCTAATTTATGGGAGATTTGGGCTCCTTCACCTAACCTAAGACTAAAGTTAAACTTTGATGGGAGTTCATTTGGTAACCCGGGGCTCTCTGGCATTTGTGGAGTAATTAGAAATGGAGAAGGGAGAGTGGTGGCATTTTATTGAGGACTAATAGGAGAAGGTGTTCTCTCGGGGCTGAAGTTTTAGCACTCCTACAAGGGCTGAGATTGGCGAAATAACTGGGCCTCCAACAAATTGGAGTGGAGGGGGACTCAAAATTGGTGATAGGGTGGTTACAAACAGGCTGCATGGGAATTTGGGCCCATAGGCAGGCCTTGAGAGAGATTAGAAGCTTGTCAAGGGAGCTAGGTGCAACAATTAGATGGGTTATGTTAGGTTGAAGGTTTTTTATGTATTGATGGTTCAGCTGATAAGAGTTCTTATTAGCCTGTATTTGAGTTTAAGTTATTATGTACTGGGCCTGTGTTAATGGGCCTAAGTTTGTTTAGTGTTTTAAGTTGTCTGGGTGTCCCATCACTAATCAGGGGCATTCCAGTCTTTCTCTGTAACATTGTACTATAATATAAATAATAGTACTGT